TAAACAAAATTAATCTAAATGAATAACCACCATTGGATGATAGAATATCCAAGAATATCCAAGCATATTCTAAGTATATTCATTACCATCCCAGTCCTCCTACAGGTTTGTTTAAGAAAACCAAAAATTCCTGTTTAGAGATGGAAAGCTCATTGTGAGCTGTGGCAATGCATTGTGGCCATTTTGTATGGATGCCATGGGGAGCTATTTGTGGTTTACGTGCCGGTACAACTAGACAGTGCCGTCCAGTTTGAATTCGCATTTCTCACAATCTCGCGCGCCTCATGGCGTGAAGAGTCATTGGGAATGCAAAAACTTCCTATTGAACTCATACGGAATGACAAGTCGAGGAGGGAAACGAAGTGGCTAAAGGGACTCTGTGGCAAGGCTGAGAAGCTCGCGACACTGTGGAATGTCGGAGTGATTGTCATCTACAATGGTAAGTTCACCATAACAGAGGAAATTTGGGTGGCAATGCAATCAATTTCAAGGACATCATCATCAAGTACACCATGCAAGACTTACCAGCTCATAGCAATCCAGTGGATGCTCTACCCTGAGATTGAACAGCAGCATCATGGCTCAAGCCTAGGGTGGTGGAGTCCTCAAAATGTCTAAATAAGCATAACACAAAATCTTATGTCAATCTTACAAGGGAAGATGGTGTTAGTAAAGTTGAATTGCTAAATTAGTTAATGTAGACTATGAAAAAAAGGAGTGATGAGTTATTTTCCTCAAACTTTTCTCACAATCAATGCAAGCATTGATCCGTTAATGTATCATTTTATTAATGATTGACACAAAAGCTACACACAACATGATCCTTAATGATTTGATTAAGTTTTTAAGACTAAAAGCTAAGCAAATGTCAACCATACACTTTTGCTTTGCAGAAGGTGTGTGAGTTGCTAGGAAATTTATGAGTGATGTTTCAATAAAAATATCAAAGTGGAAATAAATACTGAACTTAATAATGTTGAAGATACTAAATTTTCAAATGATATTTGGTATGGATTTCTTTAACAAAGTATATCTAAAGGATATATAATGTTAAACAAAATTGTATCATATTAAAGTTAGAAGGATTTTTTAATGTCTTTTTTCAATTGCAAAAGCACTCTTAAAAGGATTGAGATACTAAGTTCTTAATTATAATAGTAGCTCAAAAAAGTAATTAAGAAAGGATGTTATACCTTTTGGGTTCAAGTGGTAGAAGGTGAGAGTGACTATAATCAAATTTGAATCGGTGATAAGATTAATCTTATATTAAAGAAAATTTTGGAGTTATTGGTGAGGGATCAAAAGAACTTTTTAAATGATTTACCGTCAAAGCTACATTTTAGCTATGAAGTTAATCATTGAATTGAGATTATTCTGCATTAAAACTCTATATTATTTAAATATCAAAAAGATGGTTAAACTTAAGAAGCAATTTATAGAGCTTTATGACAAAACTCATAACTAACCAAGTAAGTTGCCTTATGGAATGCTGGTATTTTTTGTTATGAAAAAGAATGGTATTATGAGGATGTATATCTATTATTGGGCCATCAACAAAATTATAATAAAAAATAGTTATCTATTGTCTTGTATTGATAATTTATTTGATTAACTCTTAAATGCTAATTATTTTACCTAGCTTGATTTGCAATCTAGGTATCATCAGATACAGGTGGCAAATTAGAATGTGGAAAAGATAACTTTTAAGACTTATTATGGATTATATGATGAGTTCATGATTATGCTATTTAGATTATATAATACCTTGGGTATATTTAGTATGATGATGAATAAAATATTTAGAAATTATTTGGACATATATGTTATTCTATATATCGATAATATTCTAGTCTTCAATAAAATGCTGGAAGATCATTTGAACATTTAGGTTTAGTGTTTTAGAAGTTGCAAGAAAATAAATTATATACTAAGGAGAGAAAATGTGCTTTTGGTCAATTACGTGTGAACTTTTTTGAGCATATAATTGATGGTGGTGTAATTGAGGTGGATCTAAAGAAGGTAGAAGTGGTGAAATCCTAGGAAGTCTTGACCACTATATTAGATGTTTATTCCTTTTTAAAAATAATATCACAAGTTTATTCACAATTTAATAACTATTGCTCTTCCATTGACTAAGTTAGTGAAGGGTAGTATACCATTCATTGAACACTAACTCATTAAAGTGCTTTTGTAAAATTGAAGGAGATTTGAACTACAATTTTTATTCTCAAAATCTAAATCTTGATAAACACTTCAAAATGCATAATGATGCATCTTGGTTTTTATTCTCAAGATCCCAAAACTTCATAAACCCTTTGAAGTGCATAATGTTACATTTGGCAATGTCATTGATGCCATGTTGTAACAAGAGTGTGATAATATGATTGATGTTACACTAAGGTAATGTGGTTGTCCTACCACATTTTATTCCAAAAAATTGAATGAAAATAAATAAAGATGGCCTACATATGAGAAAGAAATGTTTGATAACACTAGAAGGAAGCAAACATATTAGATATAAAACTAGGTATATAAATAAGAAAACTCATATATATATATATATATATATATATATATATATATATATATATATATTAGTTTTTAATTTAAAATGTTTTTAGTTTAGAAAACTATAATGATAAAAATAAATACATGGCTACATGTTGCATGTAATAATGCTTGGTTTGCTTAATAGTAGTGTTATTCTTACTTATTAATCCAATTGATCAAATA